AAGAAGAAGAAGAAGAAGAAGAAGAAGAAGGGGTTGAAGGGAGGGGGTTGTTCGCCTCGGCGAGAAAGAAGTCGTGGAGAGAAAGAGATCATCAGGAAATCTGAACGAATCAGCAGCATCCTATTATCAGGTCGCCTCACCCCCGCCCCGGCCACGCCCCTGCCGCTGCTGGCGTCGCCACAACTGCCCTCTTGGCGCTTCCGCTCCCCCCTCCCCCCTCACTCTATGAAGCAGACGACATCGGCGTATAGGCAGCCCGTCCGGGGCTTGCTGGGCTCCGGGCTCGTCTTCGATTTCCGATACAGCATTATTATTACGATTATTATTATGATTATATAAGAGTGGCGCTGCTAAGTGGTGGCCCTCCCCCCTCACTGTCGTCTTCGTCGCCGTATTCGCGGGGAGAGTCAGTTTCCTTTCTCAGCGTTTTTCAGAAAGTCGTCGCTTGTCTTTCTTTCCCTCTCCTCGCACTTTCATTTTGTTGGCTGATATTTTTAAAATATCGATCGTCGCTCTCTGCGTTATTTCTTTTCGGTTCTCAGCATACATTTCTCCTTCAATTACCAAGAGAGCTTTAGTCGAGGTTATTTGGTCGTTTAGTTTGGTAAACAAAATTGTACTTTTGTGTTTGTTTTCCCTCCACTTTTTAAATATTTTCGCAAACGGACCATTATTTCTGGGGCTAACCCGCGCTGTACCGTATCAGTCGTAATTTCAACTTTCGTTCTGCTATTTTTGTTATCTCTGAATTTGTATAATAAAAATTGTCATGTCCGATATGGGGCGAGGGGTGGCCGCAACGCAATCAGAGCCCTGACTTCCCGTCCACTCTCTCCCCCTCTCCCCCTCCCTCTCCCCCGCTCTCCCGCAGACGCCCACTCGCACACGACAGTACCGGGCCGGGCGCACGCCACGCGGGGAATCGGCAGTTTAGACGCAAATTACCGCACATGAAACCGGATCCGACATTCACCCACGACGACTCGAGCGGGGGCGCGGGTGGGGGCGCTGGGCGTCGCAAGCGGCCAGCATCCGCGAGGGCAGAGATGGACTCGTCCCGACGCGTTCGGACCAGAGATAACTAGAGATTATGACCAGAGATTCTGTTCTCTCTGCGTTCGGACCGCGGGCCCGGCCTGGGACTGGCGACGCTGGCGACGAGGCTCGTCCATTTCCTTGACGGCAGAGGATCCGTTGTGCCTCTCTGGCCGTACGCCTTGTGCCCGCTCTTCCCCCACTGGTCGTGGTCAAATACAACCGGAAACCTAAAGTGTGTGGATTTCGCACACTTGTGGGTGTGTGAACTCCATTCGTACACATGGATTTCAAAGGAAGAGTCGTACCTTTAGTCCCAAACGTGTACAAATGGGCATTCACACACCTACAAAGTGTGCGACATTCACACACTTGTGTGTTTCCAGAATGTAATCGCGTCGTTCGGGATTTTCCTCCATTTGTTGTAATACATAGGCTATAGTTCACTTGAATCGCTACGCCGGAAGTAAGGTTGGGTGCGCCAAAACAGAACCATAGTAGGGGTTGCCTATTCGTACGGGGGCAGAGGCAAACCCGTTCGAACGCGTGCATTTTGGCTAGTAAAACGCGTTTGCTCTGACGGGGCACGACGACCACAGGAAACCGCCTGTAAGTCCGTGCTTCAGTTAAATCGCACTCAGCTGCCGCGCATCCTTGCTCATCCTTTCCCGAGGAAAGGAGAGGGGACGTTGGGCGTCAAACGTTATCTCGCCCGAGGCCCCGAGGCCCCCCGTCGTCGAAGGGACAGCAGACGGGCAGCTCGACGGGCAGAGCCCAAAAGTGCAAGCTGGCGGAATGTAGAGACGCGGCTGCGCGGCTGGACGCGTCGGCTCCGCCGAGTGGACTGGACAGTCGCGAGCCAGCAGCCAGGGCGGTTGGGAAGGACTCACATGCCGGTAAAGTAATTTTAGTAATGTGGAATCTCACAAGTTAGGCGTCTAGTGACATGTACCAGGTGGCTGACTCACGCCCCGCACGTCCGTAGTTATACTGTTTCGCATGCACGCGTGTGGGCGGGTTGCCTACTCGCACGGGGCCATACGGAGCTGAGCGAGCATATAGGCAAACCCGCCGGCACCCGTGCATGCGATACAGTATAACTACGAACGTGCGAACATGCGCGGCTTGAATCAGCCACCTGACACAGCATGTCAGACTAAGGGGCGAAAAGGGTGTAATAACAAGTAAACCGTTAGTAACCGAATACCTAGTCGCAATAACCCTCGTTGAAGTTGAAGAAGACTAGAGTATGCAATGAGCAATCATATCACAGCCCCAAGTCAGCAACTTTACCACTGAAACGCCCCGACTTAGCTACTCTGGGTGGGCCGCCGTCGTCACAGGTGCTGGGCGGGTGAGCCAGCCGAGACCTCAAGTGGAACACGGAAAAAAATATGTAAGTTCGCATTGCTGATATGTTTGCTGATATCGTGACAATCAACTTTTAAGCTACCGGAGTTAATAATTGACTCCTGTGTGCAAGAATTAGCTATGGCAGCTAATGCTTATCTGGATTAGCTTTAGTGCTCGTTCTGGTAGATTATCTCCAATCAACTGAAGCAGACATTGCATTTGCTCCTGCAGGTAAAGCATTAGCTCTCACAGCTGATACGTCGCTGTGACAGCAAACGTTTCGCTGTGGTAGCCAAAAAACTTGCTTGTCACGATATTAGCAAACACAAAAGCTAAGGCAGCTAACATTTAGTTGTCTTAACTTACATTTTTTTTTCCGTGAACCGCCAGCGCCTTTTCGGCGCTAAATTTTGCGCATCTCTTGAAGAACAAAAGGAATCAAAAAGCGCGATAAAAGCGACCGAAAAGCACAGGGGAGACCCTCCTTGTCGCGGGTGTCGTCGGGTCGTCCAGCTCCATAACCTGGAGGGCGATCGGAGAGCTCCCTGAAAACAACCGGAAACGCCTTCTAAATCGTCTGAAATAGGGTGAGGGGGGTAGTGGGAGGACGGAAGTGGAGCGTTCTCAGGGAGCTCTCCGATCGCCCTCCTGTGGTCCAGGATGACGTCACGACAGTTGTATTCGCTTCTCCGCCCAGCCGCACTGCTGCAGTCTAGCCAGCCGGCTCACCACTCACCTCCCATCTTCATCTTGCCTCCGACGCGGGGATTCTCCGGTCAGCTGCTGGCGAGGTCTTGGAAGTCCAACTTAGATACAACCTGTTACTGTGAGTACGACTAGACGCCCTTCTTCTGAATTCAAGCTGCGAGCGAATAAAGTGAACGGTATCAGTTTCGAAGCAGCGTGGCTGTAGGAGCACAGATGAGGTTAGGAAACCCCGCCGCCTGTTTAGATCACTCAGGGCGGAACCGTGTCTTGTCCACGGAAGGAACGCATTAGTTCTCCCAACAACGAGGTCGTTCCCTCGACTAAATGTCGGTTTTTGAAACTTAAATTAGTTAGTTATTCGGGAATCAAAACTAAAACTTGGTTGGGGGGGGGGGGCTGCTTTTTGTCCGTGCGTAGGCTATGCCAGAGTGGCGGAGCGTAGTGGGAAACAAAACAAAGTACCATAAACTCCAATAAAATCTTTAAATCGCGTTTTCTACTTTCTGGCCGTAATCCACCCGCAGGGTGTCCTATCCGCTAAATGCTGTGTACACGCAGAGGGCGGGCGCTTGTCGGAGATGCGTCCTCGTTGAGCCATGGTTTCTGATAACACCGTGGTCTGCTTCAGGTCAGGTCCCGCGATGGATTGCAACATATGCTTCGAGCCGTTCGACCAGGGTGGTCACCTGCCCAAAGCGATCCCGTGCGGACACACGGTGTGCCTGCAATGTCTGCAGCGACTGCAAAACCGAAAGTGCCCGACGTGCCAACAGGTGGGTTAGCACCATCACCGCTGTGGTTAGCCCTGGTTTGTCCTTTGGTCTCCCTTGTTCTATATCCTTTCTTTTGCAGGTGTTCCAGGCCCCGCTGTCACAAATCCCCAACAACTACACTGTGCTGCAATTACTCCAGGCTAGATCGGACAGGTGGGTGCCCAGCAGCGGTGGCTTTGGCGAGCTGGCAGCTATGTGTGAAGGTGGGACCGTGCTTCAATGCCTCTGTGACTCCTCAGGACCGACAAGTCCCCAGGGTGGTGCTCGAGGTGCAGCGCCGTCGCTACGCCCCAGTGCCGGGGCCAGCAGCACGTCGTCCTGGGCGTGAGAGAGGCTCTGAAGCAACTCCTGGAGGGCGTACGGTCGCAGGCTGCAGGCCATCTGGAACGTCTAATGCACCAGTGCCAGGAAGAGGAGGCCGTGCAAGCCCTAACTCTGCTGTCCGGCGAGGCCTGGGAAGTGACGCTGCGGGGCGAGGGGCCGCCGCTCTCGGGGACGCTGCGGGACACCGAGGACCCCCTGACCAAGGCCGTTTTGTTCGTCCTGGCGACGAAGGGAGAACTGAAAGAGGCTGCTACAGTGCCAGTGCCGGTAAATTATAGTATGGAAACTTGGTCACTTTCTAGTGGAGTGGCCTAAGAATACTGTCCTTCGTTTCAGGCTTCGAGTTGGTTATTAGTAAACTACCTTTGTATTCTGCTCCAGATCAAACACAGCGTCGTTAGCCTCGTTCATCGGAAGAACCTCAGCCCCAATCTGGCCGGAAACCCAAATGTGTCTAGTGAGGTGAGTCTTGTCCACACTCGGTCCTGGTTGGACATGCAAGTGTTCGGCTTCAAACTCTCTCTTTCCCGTTAATTGCATTTAATGGTTTGCTGTCCATACCACACCTCTGTCTCGGGGTTGACGGGCTGTACCCGGCTGGTGCGGTGAGTGATACGCCCCCGCGCACCTGCGTGCGATGTACATGTACATCCGCATGGTTGGGCTGTACCACCCGCAGTGTCTTTTAGCAGGTTGCCCAATCGCAGGCACCTGAGGTAATCCGTGCGACAGGTGCGATTTTAGGTTGGGCCCGGGGGGGTG